CCTGCTTTTTTCTCCTAATATGCTAGGTGGATACAGTTCCAGTTAAATTCTGTAGGCTCTCATACATGCACTCAAGCCCAAACCTGTTTTGCATTTCCAACTTTTATCTTTGCCTGGATGTCCCACAGCATGGCAAATTCACTATGTCTTATCTTTCATATCCACCAAGCACAACCAAAACCAAATTTTCTTTCTCTAATTCTCTATCAGTGAGCAAGTACTAGGTTTTACCCAATAGCCAGAGCAAGAAGAGTGGGAGTCATCCCAGACTTCATGCTTTCTATTTCCTCCACCACCATCCTCTCCTCAGTCCAGTCTATGAACTTCTGTCAAACTCAGATTTAAAAACTACTTATAGTTCTGTCTAACTTCTTGGTTCAAATCCTCATTATTTCCATGGATAGGATATAAGTGAACTTACCACTCTGTTCTCAACTTCTCTCGAATATGTTAGAATGACACACTCAAAATTTTGGATGTATACCAGGTTACTGATTGTTGCCTGCCCGGCTTCCAGTCTCTGATGAATGGGCAGTGATTATGTTCTGCATCCTTCATTATCTTGGCACTCATAGCCAACTGGGCCAGGAATTGGCATTTGTCCCAATTCTTCCATAGGTTTGGTCAGCCAATCTATAACTTGGATGACTAATTGTTAAATAGAAGCTGAGTAAAATTTTCCTTTTGGAATTTTTGAATAGAGAAGCTGAGAGAAGCTAGTCTGAAGCTGTTCAGACCACTGTTTTGCTAAAAACAAAGTTCAGGCATGAGCAGGCTGCAGTTATGGGGATGTGGATATTGTGTGAGCGGGGGAGCTGGAAGCCCAGAGAGAACAGGATAAGAAAGAAGTTGTGAAAAGGATGTCTCAGTGTCTGATGGTTCTTTAGCTGTACTTTCTGAAGCCTAATCACATTGTGTTTTCTACTTCACATGTTCATAAGATTGTTGCGCAATTAAAACAAAATATAACCAAAAGCTCTAGTCTGAGTGAACCCCTATTTCCTGCAATAAACTAACAATTATATGTTCCAGTAAGCCCTTATAATGTTATGATGAGACATCTGGAAGAAAGAAGCAATGTGATGATGCTAAGGGCAGCAAAATGAAGTACCAAACTCACTGTTTATTCCAGTTCTTAAAGCATTAGCTTAAGGGGGAAGAAAGAAAGGTTAATAATGAGTTTCTGATGTGAAACTTAATCTTTATGTAAGAACAAATTGATCCCTTGTAAACATAATTTCAGAAAGGGAAAATAGTCTCAGCTACAAATACCACACGCAAATTATTGCAGTAACTGATATAACATTTTTCTAATATTTGTTAATAGTGGGATAATCAAACTACCTTTTAGATGCCATGATTTGAGATACTTGTCTTTCCTTTTGCCAGTGATGGGGACTAGAGGAAATGCTGAAGATCTCCAGGATTCTTAGTCACATCACCATATTCCTTTCTCAAATAAGTAAATTTATTGAAGATTAATAGGTTAAAAAGAATATTAGGCATATTTAATCAATATTCTGAATATGAGATACTATCAGAAAGCATCTTTACTTAGGTCTCTCATTATCTCTATAAATTTATTCAGATTATTTTTTTTTTTCCTGTTTAGAATGTTTTTTTAGAAACCCAGTCAATGTCAGGACTCTTCAGAATTCTTATGCAACAGAAGGTCCCACAGTCACTTCCAACCATGTTTAGTGCATCTGATTTCATGTCATAATAAAAACTTAGGACTTGATTGAAAATTAAGTCTTAACAGTTTCCCCATGAGAAGCCATGTGCAAGTGCAAAGCTGAGGAAGAGGAAGGTCCTTCTCTGCTTGCTCCTGGAAACTTTTGATCCTTCCAGGGTAGGATGGGAGAAGGAAAGAGAAATGGGAAGCGGTGGGAATATTCTTATCTGAACACTGGAGCTATAAGCTGTCTTCCTCTTTCCTGGACCTGTTAAATGTTTAAAGAAGATCATATTTTGTATAGGTTGTTGTGGTTTTTGGGAGATTGCAGCCATTGCTAGTGGTGTCTTGCCCATTGTTCCCTTTGTGCAAATGTGTTCCAGTGAAGCAAACTTCTCAGCCCAGTTACCTGGTGTTTCCCTTCTGCTTCTCCTCTTCTGAGGCCTGCCTGCACTGAAGGAGCCCTCCCTCATGGTTGGCCCACATACAATCCAGGAGGAAACCCCCTCCCCCCACTACACACACACACACACACTCTTCCCCTGGACAATCTTGAAGCAATAACAGCTGCCTGAACTATACTGAAGATGCTTGCTAGCCCACTTTTTGTGTGATTGCTCAAGATAAAGTCAGACCACTGTGTTTTCTACCCAGGGACATACATCCAGCTTTCTGATGAGACCCACTTATATCCCTCTGTCTTGGTGTGAGGTGACTCCCAACCTTTCACTTTGGTGGGAACTGAGAGCACATATTTCTTTACACAAATTAAAAACCCTCTCAATATCCTTTCCCCAATCTCTAACACTCCTTGAGGAGACACAGTGTTTCCTGGAAAGTATCACACATTATTTCTTGGTGCTTTAACCAATACTTTAGTTTGAACATCCTGTAAGAAAATATGTGAATGGCAGAATTTTATTGTTTGGAATGAAGTACTACTCTACTTTTTGTCTCTGTATTTCCTATACACTGTAACCACATGGTTACACTCAGAAAAGTAGTGCCCAAGAAGAACAAACCTCCAGCTAGCTCTGCTTTTTGAATGGATTCTTCCCCTCTTCCCTGAGGAGACAAACTATTAGGACTTTCCCAAGGGGGGCCCAAGAGAAGGATCAGAAACCCTAGGACCCAGGGTCCACATAATTCTCACCCTGCCTGGAGAAGGCTGTAAAGAACACAGATTACCTAGACTCACATGTGAGGGACCTTGTTTATGGTGCCTTCTGATTCTACTGAGTGGATAACTGTCCTGCAGAGCTACTACAGGGTACTGTTGCACTCAGTGTGCTAAATGATTGAAAGAAGGACTGCAATAGATGGGGCTAGAGAACTCAGCTATCCACAGGAATCAGGAACTGGGAGGGCTGACTCTGGTTGAAGGCAGGAAGCAATGGCAGATCTGCTGGGAAAAAAGCATAGTAGCTCAGGTCTTCACAATGCAGAGCCCAATTCATCTTGCAGTTTCCTCTTCCTAACTCCCTTCTCCTTCATTTCTGTCATAAAAAGCCACTTCCCATTTCCTGACTGTGCCATGCCCTTCCACACCTCCAGAGTTTACCTATGTTCCTCCCTCAGGATGGAAGACACTCCCTACTTTCCCTACACCAGAGCCTCCTACAAAGCTTCTGTACAGCTATCAAGACTCAGCTTAAGTCTAATTTCCTGTGAAGCTTTCTTGCTACTTTCCTAATCCACTGTACCATTTTCCATGTGTCAGTTTCAGCCCTCACTGCACTATGTTGCTGTGCTTTATCAATTTGTTTCTCCCTGCTTCAGACAGTGAGTGCCTCAAACACAAGGAAGGGCTGTGCCTTTTTCACTGCTGCTCTCACCACCCAACACTGTACTTCAATGTTGTAAGGACATGTTACACAGAAAATTACCATACGTTTATTAGCTTACAGCTTCTGTGGATCAAAAGTCTAGGCATGTGGCTGGATTCTCTGATTAGAGCCTCACTAAGCTGAAATTAAGACATTGGCCATGGCAGTAGTTCCCATCTGGCACTCAGGGTTCTCTTCTAAGCTTATTGATTACTGACAGAATTCACTGTCTCAAAACTGTAGGACTGATATCCCCATTTTCCTATTGGCTGTTGTTCAAGAACTACTCAGTTCCTAGAGGCCACCCACAGTTTCTTGCCATGGGGCCCCACTAGGCAGTAATGGATGTTTGCTTGTTTTCAGGTTAGCTGGAGCACATTCTATTTTCCTCTTTGAAACCACCTGGCCAGCACTCTCTGCTTCTAAAAGTTCACCTAACTAGATCAGGCCCACCCAGGATAATTTTCCTTTCACCATATAATGTAACATAATCGCAGCAGAAATATTTCCACCCACACTTAAAGGGAAGGGAATTATATAAGAGCAAGGTCACTAGGGTCCTTAGAATTCTGCCTACTACAGAGCTCAACAAATATTTATAATCTCTAAATGTGTTCCACAAACTTGTAAATTATAAACATCTCTATTTAAGATTTTTTTTTCTATTGTCACTTTGGAGGACTTAAATTGTTTGCAAATTTATGTTGGATCCAGAGTGGTTAGGGATGCTGTATTGAAATAACACAACGAGACCCCTGCAGAGAGTTCAGCTGGTATTCAGGACTATGAGGCAAGACCCAGCCCACCAGCTAACTGGCTGGGTGACCAATCTTAGGCTAAGTCTTTGATGAATTTTAGGTTCCTCCTCATGTATAAAATGAAGACAACATCTAAGATTTGTTAGCTCCAGTATTCTATAATTTCTAAGACTAAATCATAGTGATCAAATTAAAATCTAGTGGTCGATAATGTCCAAATTTATCCAACTAGTTCATGAAAGAATTTCATTACAGATGGAATTGCAGTGATGTGATTTTAAAAGAAAAAGGGAAGTTTTGTTTTTATGTGAATTCATTCCTAGATTGGCTGGATTTGACAAAATGTAAATACAGGTATAAAACTCCACTTTTAATTCTTTATATAGAATGGTGAAGGAGTATTTTGTTTTTAAATGACTTTTCTATTCAGTTATGATTAGAAGTGAATTTTCCCTAATATATTAAAAAGTGACAAAACTCCTGTCTTTTAAGTTGAATTAACTTAATTGATGATAACTGAATAACTATCAAAGGCAGTTCTCAATATTACAGATCAATTCTCTGAGTATGTGCAAAGCATGCTAGGTTCTTCTATACATTTTGGGGTTTTAAGTCTTTCTTTTGTCTCTATGAAATGACGTCTCTTTGGCTAGTATAATTATTCTTTTCTACCCAACAAAAATGAACTCTAAATTTAAACAGGTATTATTAAATCCCACTGAAATAGGCTTCATGCAGATGTATTCGTTAAAACATCCCTTTATTGACTGTGCACAGTTATTAACAATTCACATTTCACTTTATCTACTGAGTGGAAGAGCATTTATTCTTTCATTAAAAAGTTAAGCCCTCCAGGGCAGCAGCAGGAATGCAAAGCCTTCTTCCTATAAACAGCACTGTCCAGTTCATGTGAAGTGCTTCCATATTAATACAAAAGGGAAAAATAAGTAAGACAAATGGATTTCTCCCTCCTTCCATCATCCCCCTCCCTGTCAATATACTCCTCTTATTTTACAAAATGCCCACAAGTAAACAGTTCCCACATGGGTAACTTCCATCAATCAGAAGAGGAATGGCAACATTTATGTGGCACCACTGAGTTCAAAACAGCCTTAGGGCTCTGTGAAAAGTGACAAAAGGAGTATGAGGCCATGGTCATTTCCTTAGGAAGATGCATTATGGACAGAGAGGGTAGAAAACCATGAAGGCATTAGTCAGTCTGTAGCACCTTGCTGCTCAAATTTCAGAAGTTGTTTCTCAAGTTTTGAGGTGTTTACTCGATGCTTCATTAGAAACTGGTCATTCAAATGAAAGACGGGAATGTCAAATTTATACCTTTCATACCAAGCAGAATTTTCTGGAAGTGTGATGTCCACCTCCTGTAAAATAAACTGAAGCACAGACAGGCTAAAGCTCTATATTTTAGAGACTAAGAACAATGCAAATTTGCAGTTTCTAATGCTGAGAGGTTTTGGTCATTTGTTTTAGGTCCACTTTGTTCTAATGCCCCTAGTTTCCAAAATGACTGGTTTCATTATACCATATTCCCTACCTACAGATCTTGCTACTTTTCTGTTACACCTGTTACATTCAGCATCACACTCCTGCTCAGTTCTGATGAAATAAGACACATCCCAGCTGGGGAGCTGCCTAGGAAAGAAGTGTTTTGGTTGTAAAATGGTAAAGGTGTGATGGTCTGGCTACATGACAACATTTCCATGGAAGTTATGAAATACGATAAAAGAAATGGGGACAAAGGTTTAAAGAAAACATGAATATTGCACCTGCTAGTTAACTTTGACTCATATTAAGAGTCAGAGTAAGAAAATCAGTACTGTTCAGAGAAAAACACTTAGGGGTAATGAGTTTTATGGAAATCAGCACTAAACTCTCTCTCTGAAGAATAGAAAGAAAATTTAAATGAAAAATTATTTAATCTCTTTTCCTAAAAAAAGGATGGAGATAGATACTTTATACCACATACAATATCCATTCCACATTCATAAAAGCCACACTATTACCCTGTTTTTATAAGGCTTGAGTACTTCCTTGGCTTCATCACAGAGTGGGCATGGATCCTACAGGAAGGAAAAAAATAAAGCTGTTAAACCTAAAGAATGATCTTCAGCCTAACCAAAAACCCACAGGTTTTATTTACTTTAAAGGACAGTTTTCTGCCATGTTAATTAGACTGCTTTATTCTCAAAGCTAAACACTACCATAGAATCTTAAAAAAAAAAAAAAAAAAGCTACTATTCCATGATAGGTGAGCTCTCTGTACCTTTTGGTTTTGTGTTTTGATTTTTCTCATATATATATATATATATATATATATATATATATATATATATATCACCCTATATACATGGGTGTATGGATTTATGATAAATTTAGATGTTTATTATTTGTTTCTCTGATCTATCTACCAGAGGCTCCTTGAGTTGAGGAGCACCTCTGTGGCCTGGCTGCCACCAGCAGAATGGCTTATAGTCTGTTCTGACTGGGAAACGCTGAATTTTGCTGGCCTATTTTTCATGATCAGTCTGCAGGAATAAACCCCTCATGACACAGTTAGTTATTGTTCCATCTTTTAAAATGATGATACCAATTTGTATTATTTTACCCATTTTCTTGTATAAGTAGTATTAGCCACAGGTATTCTAATGCTAACACTCTACTTGAAAGGCAAGAAGTTTTAGCATCCATTGTTGTTTGTAACAAACTCTTCAACCATACCATGGAAAAGTATGTTGAGAACACTATTGATCATCAGCAGATTTTAAAGGATTCTCAGCCAGTCAGTCTAAGAAAAGGGACTAGCTATAGGTTCTCTTGTAGGAGCTCAAGATAGATACAACATTACTGATGTTTATATAAAATCTACATTTTAACACATCAGGAAGGGATGAGCTACTATGTTAAAAAGAGACCCTTCCTCCAGTTTAACTCACAGCATGTTTTATATAAGGACAGAGATCTTTCTGGGTCTTTTTGGCCCCACTCTCCTGGGTCAGAGAATGAGACTTACCAAATTGTTATTAGCATCAACAACAGATTATAGTTTAAGTCAATCATGCTGAAATTTTCTGACAAAGTATGAAAAAAGTTAACCTAAGACCTTAAAAGCGGAAACAAAACACAAACATACTAATTTTCAAAAGTATCAAATGTATTAAGATTTTGCTTTTATATTAAAAACTTCATTAAGATGTCTTTATTATGTGCCTCATGGGTTTAGTACCTATATTGAGTTAAATGGACTGTTGGTTTTTGTTGGTCTTGTTTTATAAATGTTTTTGACTCTCAACTGTTAGCAAGCTGAAAAACAGTGCAGAACAGTAGGCCAAATGAGTACAATTAGCCTTAGGGATTATTTATTTTTGTGGTTAATTTTCACATGCATTTGCCATCATAGATTCTCATATGATGAAATAATTTTTATTCCTTAATTCCCAAGAGTGCAATATATATTCATGGATATAAAAAGTAGTACAAATTAAATATTCTCAACAAAAATTCATTCAAAAACACTACTTCAGTTTTGTTATTTGATAACTGCTAGATTTTTTCAAACTGTTAAAATGTTTGAAATCTATTTTAAAAAACTATTAAGAGCCCCTTTTTATTTGAATTGCAGAATTATTCACAAAAGTTGCTTCTATTACTCTGCACTTTCTTTTTTTTTTTGAGAGAGAGAAAATTTTTTCATATTTTATTTTTTAGTTTTCAGTAGACACAACTTCTTTATTTTATTTTTATGTGGTGCTGAGGATCGAACCCAGCACCCTGCGCATGCCAGGCGAGCACACTACCGCTTGAGCCACATCCCTAGCCCCATCCGCACTTTCTTTTTTGATTATAAATTGCACAAACTGATGTAAACTAGCAAAAAGAAATCATTAATGTTTGGTCATAAATTTCAAGTAGAAAATCTCATTAAAAATTTTAAACTAACCAGGTGCAATGGCGCACGCCTGTAATTCCAGAGGTTGCAGAGGCTGAAGCAGGAGGATACCAAGTTTCAGGCCAGCCTCAGCAACTTAGAGAGGCCCTAAGCAACTAAGTGAAACCTGCCTTAAAATAAAAAATACAAAGGGCTGGGGATGTAGCTCAGTGGCAATGTGTCTCTGGTTTCTATCCCTAGTACTGGGGGCGGGGGGGTGTGTAGTATTAGGGATAAGAAAAAGAAATACATTCAATCTTCATTATTCATGAATTCCATATTTGTGAACTTGCCTACTTGCTAAAACTTATTGAAACCCTCAAATTGATACTTGAAACACTTTTGCAGTTATTTATGTACATGAACATGCAGAGAGTGATAAAAAATTCAAGTTGCCAAAGCACTTGTTATAAACTGAGGTCTAACAGTAATGCTCTGCCTTTCATTAAAATAAAAATATGCCTATTTTCAGAAATACCAAATGTAATAAAAATTTTGCTTTTGTATTAAAAACTATACATAAGGTTATATATTTGGTCATTTGAAAAAAATACTGTGACCAGAGGCTCATGGGAACCCAATCCTGTATTTTCTCTAGGAGTAATGATTCAGTATTTGCTAATTCTGTGTTTGTGGTGATTTTATAGAATATAACTACCACAAACTGACTTATTTCCAAATGATACTTTTTTTTTTTTTTTTTTTTTGGTACCAGGGACCGAATCCAGTGATGCTTAACCACTGAGTCACATCCTCAACCCTTTTATTTATTATTTTAAATTTTGAGACAGGGTCTTGCTAAGTTGCTTAAAGCCTTACTAAAATTGCAAATGATACATTTTTAAACATAATATAATCTATACTTTTTTAACATAGGGGTCAGATGTCAATTAAATATATTAATTTACTCTTTGATAACTGTGAAGACAATGAAGTGTCTGGGGAGGAAACAGTTACTGCTACTGTGCTGAGAGAGAAATTGGAGAGCAGGTTTGAAGAGAGTTTATTCCACTGTCTTCCTTTCAGATTTGTCCTGTATTTGTAAATGTACAACTGTATGCACCAAAAATCTTAATATTTTATATTTTTAAAGTAGTAATTTTATTTTTTCACTCTGTACCTTTGTGAATAAGGTCAGCACAGGCAAAGTTGTCTTAGAGGCAGAGAGATTTCTCAAGAAGAGTCCAAAGGAGGATTTAGCAAGTTGCATGCTATTTCCTTGAAACCAGAACATCTTAATTCTGCCAAAAGAAAAATAAACCAGTAAACTTCTGTGCCTTAGATTTTTACCCTTTACAATACAAATAGTTAAGCTGCAAGCTTATGATGGAATTTGAAGGCTTCAGAATTGCTCCTTGGAGTCCAGGAGTGCCCAGATGTTTGGCAAGTCTCCATAATGCCTCAACATTCATTGTATTCCAAACAGAACAGAATGGGGAAAAAAATCACATTATGGCTTAGTTGTGTGCCTAGTTATTTTTTGTAAGTTAATTCCATGAGCTTATTAATTTGAATACAAATCACCTGCAGATTTTTGCCGGTATCCTGATGATTTCCTAAAATTAGAGGTATCTTGAGATAGTCACAGGGATTGCTTATTTATTTATTTTTTTTTAAGTAAACTTTCTTATTCCAATCAGTCCTTAAAAACATCTTTTTGGTGCACAGTAATTATATATAACAGGGGGATTCATTGTGACATATTTGTACATGCACATAACATAATCTGATCAATTTCATTTCACCAAGAGATAGCTTATCTTACTGACAGACAAGCATTCAGCTACCATCACAGTAAGGGAAATAATAAGCAAATGAAAAGCACAAGTCCCCACTAAAGGTGCTGGCTATCTCTTTAGAGATCCATGCTACTCCAATGCAAGAGGTGGGGAAACATAAAACTGTAGTTAAAGGAACTACAGAGGAGAATCAGACTCAGTTAACTTGTCAGAAAAAAGAAAAAAATAAATCTCTGCTCAACTCCTTAAGAAGTATTTTAAAAGGAGATTGCCATAATTTTCAATAACTTCATACACAAATGTACTAGTGTTTCTACTGGAGAGATTCCAAGAACAGCTTAATAGCAGCATGTCAAACAGTAGGCTTTGAAGCTCCCTCATCCTGCTTTGCTTGACATAAGACACCCTATTATTTCTAGATATTCTATTGAGACTCCAGCTTTGTCTTTAAAACTACAAATATTATAATTTCACTTTTAAAACACATGTGCACTGTTGGCTTTATCAATATTCCCAAGATGAACTCATTCCTGGGATCACAATTTCTTAACTTCACTTTACTCTAACTTCATCTATCACTTTTCCTTCTCTTCCCTTGGTGAATTGCAGCTGCAAAAGTTCTCTTCTAGTCCTTGAATACCCAGAGATCATTTTTTCATCAGGATTTTTGTACATGCTTCCCCTCTGCATGAAAATCTCCTAAGTGGCTTCTACTCATTTGGCCCGGGTATCCTGTCATCTACTTTGAAAACGTCTTAGTGACCACCTTACCAATGCTAGCCAGTTCATAATTCTCCATCCTCATACCTTGAAATACCTTTCTTTTGTCCTTTGTTATCTAAACTGAATTCTGTTCCCTCTACTACAAGGTGAATTCTGTTAGAGCAGGTATTTGTTCAACCCTCTATCTCTAAGCACCCACAATCAACCTGGCATTTAATAAATGCTTAAATATGTGTTTGAATGTTTTAAAAAAGTATTGGAATAAGGTTTCCCCACTCTCACCTTTAACCCTCTTCAATCATTCAGTATGTATAGCAGTTACTATTTAGTCCTACCTTATAACTAAACGTTAATACTCCTCAGGGTGTCCACAGATTTTGGGCTGGGGTGCTGCAACTGGTTCTAACATCTTCACTGACACCAGCTTGAATTATCTGCTGATCTGCTCCACAGAGCATGACTGCATTAATTGTTAAACTTTACTAGCAATCAAACTCCTCAGTGTAAGATTAGCTTTAAACTCATTTCAAACAGAATGATATGACTTTAGAGAAAACCACTAACCTATATCAAACTATGGTAAAGACCACAGGAAAAAAAAATCAGATAATGATCCACGATAACAGTAATTTTGCCTTCACTGTTAAGGCTTTCTTACTCTTCTACTTTTAGCAGATCACTTGGCTAACTAACTGATCTTGATAATGCATAAAAAAAAGGAATGTGATAAGAATTTTGCAAGGATGTGCTATCCAGAGTTACTCCAAGATGGAAAGTGGATCTAAACAATTTCCAATATTCTGTTCTACTTTCTACTAAATGTTAAGCCCTGGTATCAACATTCTCTGTAAATTCAGCAAAATCAACAACTCCAATAAGTAATTGTTGTTGGAGACACAGCTTCTAAAAACAGCCTTTGTCTTACACAGGACATAAATGAAGAGAAAAAATAGAATTTAGCCATGTTCATATTATGTAGAAATTTCTAAGTCACTGGACTTGGAAAGGCTCTATGTCACCAGTGGCATGCTGGATGTAGTGTCAAAGAAGTTATACAATATATGAAGAAGAAATAAAATAGGAAATTAACCTTATAAAAGACAGAAACACAGCCTTTGAAAATCAGAAGGATCTGGTCATCTATGGTGGTGACCTAAGACTAATAATCAGAATGGTGAACCATAGCTACATGCTGTTAGTGGAGGGACTGAAGATTTATTGGTGTATGGCCAGTAAGGGAAGTAAAACTTATTGCTTTTACCTAGCTGAGTTGAGGCTGAGGTGTTAAGGCTTTAAAAAAATTCACTTGCACAATGAAAATCTGCTTCAGTATTTCCAACATGACAAAACACAGCATGTGGTCTTGGTTGCACCCAAGACAAATAAAACCTGTCATAGTAAACAGAGTTGCTATTCATTCCAGATTTGCTGGAATATTTGTTAAACCAACACAGAGAGTTAAGTCAAGTCTTCAGTGATGCTACAACCATTCTGTATACAACTCCCTCTTTTTTCCAATTATTCTCCATTTCTACTTTTTTATGCATTTTTAAACAATGAATCATAAAACATTTGTTTACCAGGTAATGTATCCATGCTATGCAATTTTACAACCTCCGTATTTTTTAAATGCTCAAGGCATATTCATTTCACTATAGCGTTCAATTGACTTATTTCTTTGGAAGTATCATATTATAAAACTATTATTAGAGTCTGATATAAAGGAAAAAACTCCCTATCCCTCTCTTAGGCAGACAGTAAGGCTAAAATTCCTTAATTTGTGGAGTCCACTTTGTATTAGAAAAAATAAAATGCAACATGACACACTTCCATAGGAACTCTTTAATTATCTTCTTAGAACATCTTACTAAAAAACTGTCAACCCTAACACCACTGCTGTCAATGTCACATTCACCATATAGAGCCTTCTTGAAGTAAAAACTTAGTATGGGTTACTTTGTCAATGTGACATTTTCACTAGTTCAATTATTTTTGAACGGTATCTTCTTAGTACTATTAAAAAAAAAATCCTAAGGGGCTGGAATTGTGACTCAGTGGTACACTGCTTGCCTGGCATGCATCAGACCCTGGGTTCAATCCTCAGCACTGCATATAAATAAAATAAAAAAGATCCATTGACAACTAAAAAAAATTAAAAATTAAAAAATCATGAAAAGTGGTCTCTGCTTATTAGTTCATGGCTGAGAAAACAACTTTTTTGATTATGTCATTGAATTTAGTCATGAAATGTGGCCCTATTACACAGAGACACAATTTTATCCTTTGTATTTTGTTATATGTCTCTGTGATATGAGCAAAAAGAGCTGTGTTCATAATATCAAAGAGGTACAATTGGGTCACCTTTGTCACAGACTTACAAAAAAAAAAAAGAAGAAGCAAAAGGTATAAGATTAGATTTAGAATGTGCTTAAAACAAATTCCACAGCCTAACAATAAAGATGGTGACTCCTGCTGTTTTAAGTCCAGTGCTGCTCAGAGGTATAGATCCCACTGAAAGAGAAAGGGAATGCTGGCCTTTCAACAAAACTCAGGCTGACTTCAGTGGTCTTTATGGTAGAATTAAACACAATATTAGGGAGGGAGTCGACTGGACAGCCCTCCTTGAAACAAGATAGGGAAGATAACTTAACTTTATAGCAATTTCCCTGCAAAGCACTGAAGGGCATACCATTAAAGCAACGATTACAGTACAGAAAGAAGCCAGGGTTGTTTGAACCTTTATTAAGGATTATTCATTTCTTGCATGAGGAGCTGCCCAGGCTATGGCTGCACATCATTTATGCAGGGCTCCTGGATTTTTCTAACACTGTGTGTATCTGATTAGGAGGGAAACAACATTGTTCTTGCTTGAGTAGAGAAACTGACCTTCACTGACCAGAATTTTATTCATACAAAGAGTCTTTGGCACACCAAAGCTCCAAGCTCACATGATCCTTCATCAGCAAGCTGCAGTGTTAATTCACGTGCAAAATCAAAAAGTCTACATAAACCCAGGTACCGCCTTGGTTATTAACAGATAATGCTGGAGCTTCTTCACAAGAGTATAATGTACATTTAATGTTGAGCTGACATTAACCAAACACTATTACCATAGCTCTTGCTGAACCTGTGTTCCATAAAGAGAGCTCAGGGCTTCCGTTTAGTCATTTGTGCCATATGAGAAGTTAAGTGCTCTATTTCACATTTATTATCATCTAAGTATAACATTCCTATTTTTATTGGAATGAACAGAAACAGACACTGATACACACCTCTTTGGGGGAACAAATCCCATTATTTTGGATCACCAGAAGTTTATGTAATGAAGTGAGGTTCTCTAAAGGGACTCCTCTGGGTCATGGGTCTCTACCTAATTCAGGGAAATAGGGATAAATGCCTCTCCAGTGTTACTGTATTTCTGATCAGTCATGTCTGTCTGACCCTCATTTCCTCCTGAACAAGTGGCAGTCTACACTGGGATTTTGTGTACAAGGACAAGAGAGAAAGAGAGTATGGCCCTTGTGAAGCCAAGAGTGACAAGGAAAGGCACTATATAGAGACAAATCCAAAACTGAAAACTGAACAGCTACTGTGAGGTGTCAATTCCAGGGGGCTAAAATGGGGGTGGAAATGAGGGTACAGAACAGAAAATATGGAATGGGTGGGGGGTAGAAGCTCCAACCTGAAATGGGCCCCTAATTCACCTGGCCAGGGAAACTCTAAGAAAGTGGTGCCAATTCAGATAAGATTTTGCAACAAAGATCCTGAGCTAACTATCCACCTGTGGGTCTGTTGCACAAGGCATCCTGTTCAGCTTTGTTCTGATTAGGCAATCTGGATATCTGCTTTGCTTCTACACAACACATTAAACCACAAGTAGGCCTATTTCATGACCCAGGCCTGGGTAGGCAAGGAGCAGCTCCTTATACCACACTCCCTCCCTGCAGTTTCTACATCAGATCTCAGTGCCAATGGTTTCTCCACACAGGGAACTAGAGAACTAGTAGAGAATCAGAGTCCAGAAAGGACTGATTGATCACATGAGTGCCCACAGACAAAACCCTTTTAATTTCCCTTCAAATTATTATCATGACCATGGGATTTCCAAGGATCTGGATGTCTCTATTCCACTGTTTGGACTCAATGGGTGCTACATTCATTTGTATTCACGCACATCTAATTTGCAAGTACTTTAGCTGTTTGAAGTGTGGGTTCTGCCTATCCAATAAATTGATTTCACTAAAAACATATGACATTTATGTGTTCACAGTTTAATATATGCATACTGCCTTTACCTCCTTCTAATTCTCTGTAAAACTAAGCAAGCCATTAAATTTTTTTTTCTATCCTGCTTGTTGTTTAGTCAATCTTTTTCCCTCCTAAAGTTCTTGAGTAGTCAACTTCACACACTAGATATGAGCAACAAGAATTCTAGCTGTATTTTAGTGGGTTGAAGAGAAGGGAGTTAAATTTTTAAATGAAACAAGAAATTATGATAGGCTTCTCAGTAATCAGTAAACTAATGATATCATTTATTCATTTATTCTACAAGTGGAGAGGGAAAAAAAGGATTGAGAGTGAATAAGAGAATCCTCACCCATGAAGAGTTAAAAAATCTGGTTGGAAGGTAAGACATGTACCAATATACAGGTAAATTATAAAAACAGGAACCTAACAACAGAGACATATAAAAGGTGATTTTAAATGCCATAAGAGAACGGGAAAGAAGAGTACAATGGGTTGAGACTGGAGGTGGTTTCACAAAAGAAAGATTTTAAATAATTTAGGATTTGGATATACAGATAAAAGGAAAAGCATTTCAAATTTAGGGATAGATACAAAGGTGTTGAGGTAGGAATGCCATGGCTATTGAATGGGGGAAAGCTAAATGGAGGTCAGTTTGATAATCCAGGTGTGGGATGAGAGTCACTGATGTATTTGTTCATTTAACAATTACCTACATTTCTCCATGTACCAGATATTACTATATGTGCTGGTGTATGTACAGTGGTGAACAAGAAAGCCAGGCACCTTGCCCTCGTGAGGTGCATATTCTAGCAAAGAGACTCCTATGAGTCTAATTATGTCTTACTGTATCAGACAGTGATGTGTACAGGAAGGAGATTCAAATGTAATGGTGACTAAGGGAGGTTCTTTAAATAAGGTATTCTCTGTGCAGATATAGTTCGAACCAAAACTAAAGGATGAGACAGTGTAAAGATCTGAAAGAGGAATACTTCAGGAAGAGAAAATAGTAAATGAAAAGGCTCCAAGTGAAGAGCAAAGATGGAATCAGAGACCTAGTTAACAGGTGACTATAGCAGTTTGAGAGAGGATGGTGGCATGGACTAGAATAAAACGCTGGCAAGGCTAGTTTTATTTATAAAGTGTTTCTAGAAAGAGGGAGAGGTTCATTTTCAAACAGAGCGATGAAGACTTGCCCAGAATAGGGGCAAAGAAATAACCTACACCATCTAGAAGAGATATGTCCGATGTGGCTCCAAAGGAGTTAATTCTTTCAATAAATGCCTACCCCTAAAACAAACTATCTTGACTGGTTCTTACCTAGTTTAACATCTTAACTAAAGAGAGAGATTTTGGGTAGGGATAGCGATAGTGAGTTGGGGGAGAAGAGTGAAGGCAAAAGTTGACTGAGTACCTTAAAAAGGGATAAAAATATAAAAACCTTTGCGTAAGTCATAAAACAAAATAGAGAAGACTATTGGTTAATAAATCATTCTAAGGCATTTTATGAATAACAATAATAATGATAATGATTCTACAAAAAGAAATGTGCTTTTATTGGCCTCAAATGGAAAACTTAAATCTCAGAAATCACAGCAATCTCAGAAATGGGGAATTATAAAACTGAAAATATTTCTAACAGAAATGGCTGAAAAATTGATTGTAAAAATTACTTAAGTATGAAACTCTCAGACATGACATGAATGATCAAAGATCCAATATGTTTATCTGCTATTAAGGAAGTCACTAAATCTAGGTAAGACCGACCAGCTAATATCTTGGTATGAGGTATTGGCTTAGTTCACTCAGGTTTCACAAAATATCAAAACAGCACACTGAAATTGAACTTTTCAGGAATCAAAGTTAACCCCAATAGCTTTTAAAACAAAGGCCAGTCCCTTTCCACTTGCTCTTTTCTAGTACTTGCCTTTATTTTTTCAAATATGGAAAAATTCAGAATCTTACTACTTTACCAATGTTATTCTTGATCCATGAATGTCAAAACAGAAGCTGCCTATGTAATGGTAAAGTTGGACTTTATTAATACCTTTAAATATAACTTGTCCCAAGCAGTACTAAATAAACTATCTAGAAGGGTCAAAATAATGTAAATGAACATCGTTCTTGTTAACTCATCAGTCAGAGAAAGTAAGCATAAATGGTATAATACTTCATTTAGAACTTTAAAGTTATTCTTCATGTGCCATTTCAGTTGGAATTCTACATTTGAGTTCTCTGAATGCACTTTTAAGGTGATGATTACATAAATATATACTTCATAGAGAAAGGTAGCTAATTAAGAGACATTGGGCAAATCCTCATTGTTTTTTTTTTTTTGGAGGGGGTGTACCAGGGATTGAACTCAGGGGCACTCACCAACTGAGCTATATCCCCAGCCCTATTTTGTATTATATTTAGAGACAGGGTCTCACTGAGTTGCTTAGCATCTCACTTTTGCTGAGGCTGGCTTTGGACTCACAAATCCTCAACTCTTTAGTCTCTAGTCTCATCAACTGTAAAACAAAAATTCTACCATTTGTTCTCCCATTTTCCAGAGACCCAGAGGAACTATGCCCTCAGGCTTTGGGTGTCAAACTTCTTCCTGATCTGAGAAGAGGAAATCTCATGCTGAAGAAACTCCATGGCAAAAGCCTACGACTGCATAAGGCCTTGAACAGAGTATCTGAAGTAGTCTGAAGGAAACTAAAATACTTGGCCCTTTAAAGAGGACCAAAATTACTTACAGATCCAGGGAGATGTAAAGGCATTTTTTTCATTGCCCACTCTTTTTTCATTCTTCAATCATAACTGAGAATCCTTGGTGTCAGAAAAGACTGTCAGGGAATGGGGGAGGGGACATTAGAATACCTGGGCACCCATCTTGAAACTGTCTAAGCACCTGAGATGGAAAAGCTTTCTATAAAAAGAATGCATTTTCTCTCTTACTATTAGATAAATTTTAATGAATTTTTTAAATGACAGATGCTCTTTACCTTGGTATGCTCTTCCATGCACAGAAACACTGCTGTCTTTGCCTTGGACTATAGCAAGCTGACAAATGTGGAGTGGAAAGGGAGAGGAATCTTCAGTGTAAGTAAGAGTTTGTTTTAGGATTTTCAGACCTTAGCAGCCACTCTTTCCAGATTGTTGCTTCAGAAGAGTCTACTTGTTAATGAGTTGGTTCACATGACAATGTCAGAGAAAGGTTTCCAAGAAAACATTCAGCTGAGAAAAATAAAATGATGATGCTAATCAAGAACAGTAATGTATTCTCATGATACACTCCCTCTAGTACCCAAGAGTTCAAAGAGTACTCTGGACTAATTTATGTTAACACATCTTTAACACAGAGGCCCAACCTCCATCCTCAACCCTAAAGGTACTGACTCAGCAACTGGTCAAGAGCCAGAGAAGCATATTCCAAATTCAAAGTGTGAAACAATGTTCAGTTCAATTATGACATAATGGCTGCAAAGCTGTTCCTGAAAGCCAAGAAAACCTGAATAATGTGGTTGGGTTATATCATATATGAGAGCTTAATTGAGTTTAAAAACCAATTTTAAAATTCCTTCATTCCATAAAGGTAGCATTAAGATGAGGGCAAAATCATCTAGTTCAAGGAATGGGAACAAAGTGCATAGGAATTATTCAGACTCCTTTCCACATTATCCTTCTTAACCAACATGACCCATTACCTTTGAAGATGTCTCTGATATTTCATACTGACCCAGAAAGAAGGTAATTTTATTAAACATCTTAGTTTTATTGTCTCCAGCTTGTAATACTAGTTTCCTTGGTATTGAAAAGCACATAAACTCAATCCTAAAAACTGTTTTCAATTAAAAATCCATCTACTCAGGCAGTGTCATCCATTTGTCACTAATATTCTACCCATTTCCATTGCTTCTTGATGAAGAGGTAATATTATCCTTATGACTACAAAAGACCTGAAAGATATTTCATTAATTTCTAGCCATTATGTTGCAAATTGCTTTGGACATATGAAATGTTAAATATACACTCCACTAAACTTTTGATATCAACAAGACCTAGGCTCACAGAAGTATAATGCCAAATCTGAACGTTGGGAATCATCCACTCCTGAAGTCAGGCCCTGGCAATCCTCCATTGGTGAGATTCTACAATCTTCTAAGTCCTATTCTATTCTTTAACAGTCACCATTGATGGAATATTTCAATATTTTAGAACTGGGAAATGTCTTTGGAAATTCTGCTTGCTTTATGGATAAGACTTGTTTAACCAAATCTTTTATACAATCTTTCTTCATTTCTTTATATTTTCTCCTTGAACAATGGCATATTTTTATATATAATAAGACCAACATAAAATTTCAGAACTAGAAGATAACTCTAAGTTCAGCTCCCTTTCTTCTAAAAATCTCTAAAAGTCTTATATATTAATTCTCAGTGTATATCAAGTAACAGACACCATGTTTTGTTTAAGGATTATTTTAAGGTTGGAAAGAAGAAAAGACTCAGTTTCACATGGAAAAATTCTTTTACTATAGAATGAGGTTCTGATCTCTAACTCTTAAGAAGATCCACATTAATTTCATTTTAAACCTAGAGAAACAGCCTAATTTAGATCTCTTTTTTCCAGGCATATGTCTCAAATTGCCTCATCTGACTGAATTTCTATTAAGTAACAGTATCCTTTTTTTTTTTTTTTTACTGAATACAAAGATTATATGTTTTAAGAAGAGTTTTTTTAAAAAAATCATATAATTCAATGTCATGTCCTTTCTTTCTGACTAAGCTAAAAACCATTTCCCTACTATTTCATTATTAATATGAAAAAATACTGAACAATTGGAGGAAGTTCATTTGTTTACAATTGCAACATTAATTTCTGCTGCAATTTCATTGGCAACCGAAGGAAGCAGCATTTAACCCATGACTACCCTTTTACCACAGAAAACGCTATCAACTTTGAACTCTTTGGAATGTTGTTAATAAAGGAGAAAAGACAAGTGTGAATTTTTCTTAATATTATTTAAGAAACCTAGATTTAAAATAGTGATTAAATATAAGTCCTCTACTCTTAATGCAGAGCCAAGCAAAATACTGGTGCTGTATGTAAGGTAATAATTTAGTGTACCTTCATGGACACACTTCACACATTTGCCAAATAGGTATTTTAGTTAAGAGTTGAGCATGGCAGGCCTGGAGGGAGTGTGGAGACAGGGCTGGTGAGGCCTTTCAGCTTGTATATGCCATTCAACACAACAAAGGCTCCGCAACTGGCCAGGCAGAAATCCTTGGAAGGCAGTCTGGTAACCATCTGTAGATTCTCAAATATGCCCTTCACTGCTCCAAGCTGTTAATCAAAGCATTACTTCTATCCAGTAAATTCGTAGAAGGAGACTATTATTTCATATTCTTTTCTCTGCCTTGCTATACCATCCTAGTGATGTTTTCACGCCCCTTATAGATTCAGCTTCCCTTCCGGGATACTGCCCTTTCATTTCTATAGCAATGTAGTGTTTGCAATGTGCCAGGTATTATGCCAGGTACTATAAATATAAACAATTAAAATATTGTCCCTGTCCTTAAAGAACTCATACCTTGGGCAGAGGAAAGATGGATAATACAATACCACAGTCATAAAGGCTATAGCAATAAAATGGCTGTTACTTGATTTTACTGGTTTCTATGGTTTAGATATGATTTGAGTGTACTCCTCAAAGATTCATGTGCTGAAAGATTTGTCCCCAGTGTGGCACTGTTGAGGTGGCTGAATCTTTAAGAGGTTTTGTCTAGTGGGAGGTAATCCATAGGGATTGAGGACTGCCTTCAGAAGGGATTAATGTTGGTCTCTTAGAGTGAATTAGTTCTCTTGAGAGTAGGTGTAATAAAAGCAAGGTCACCCCACGTTTTGCCCCTTTAGCACATGTCTATTTTCCTTTCTGTTTCTCCACCACAATGTGACTTGGCTGAAGGCCCTTGCTAGGACCACAGTGACATAGTGCTTGGATCCTCCGGCTATGAGAATTATAAATCAGATAAACCTTTTCACTCTATAAATTACCCAGCTTAAAGCATTTTGTTATAGCAACAGAAGAAGGAATAAGATACTAATGAAATGTTCTGAAATTCTTGAAGATGGATACTTTCTAGAAACATAGATCCTTTGAACTTTGCCTCTATCTTTATAAGTTAATTCTTAATTAAGAATTGGAATAAAAAGAGTAGTGTTTTCACCCCTGTGTCTATACTGGAATAGTGAGTTAGAGATATGGAATCATATACCTATGCTAAACTGAGCTACAACTTTTTTTTTTTTCATATTCTTTTCCAAATGAGTTTGTCCTTAGAATTTGCTATGTGATAAAAAGGGAATGATTGTGGATACTCACGCAGTCATTGCTACCTGTGTAGCTAAACATACCTGATACAGATGGTTTCTCCCCTTCAAAATAATTGCAAACAAGATTAAAATCGCATTTAGGGGCTATTCCAGCTGGCTTTTGGCTTCTTCTGATGTATGCCCTGAATAAAGCAGTGGCAAAAATTAGATTTTAAATAAAAAACTTACTACATATACTAGAGCACTTCAAGGTCTTGCTATGTTTGAAACCCCAAGCCCTAGTATTAGAGTGACTGAATGTATCAGCCAGCTCGAGTATATACAAGTCATGAAATACAAAATTTTTAATTAAAAAACAAACTTATTTTGAAGGCACTGCCTCTAGGTACTTCAGAGTATGAATATAGCCAGGCATCTGGAACAAGACAGAAACATAATCCAATAAATTTAAAGTTGGAAAATCCTCATTTCTATTACAGATGAATAGTCCAATAAAACTATATAATGATATATTCCTCTGGTAAGGAAACAAAAATATTGGTCCTTTCTTGGCAAATGGCTATTACCAGAAAGCTGGGAAGAGAGAAAATCTGGAATGTGCCTAAAGTGCCAACCTCACAAATCTTAATTTTTACAACTGGGCCTTTCTGGTTCCACACAATTCCTTAGCAGAGCAGGACCTAGGTTATTAGGCTATAACATCTCACATAGATCCATGATTAGTTCTGCCTTGTCCTGTTACAATAATCACTCTGTATTGCCAGGGTTCACTTAGTTCTCCAAATTTTAAATCTGTTATTTACCTATAAGGCATCTCAATGTATATGGTTCTGAATATTGGTAGAGCGCTTCAATTGCATTTTACAAGCTATTCCACAGATTATTACTAAATGAGAAGACTATGGCCTCTATAGCCACCACAGTTTGCTCACTGACACACAGCTCGAGTGACTAGTTAACCAAGTGTGTAGTTTTGGGAAGCCTGGCTTTTTGTTGGGAAATGTTCTTGAGAAGCTGAGAATTTTGGGGTCATGCTGGCCATATTAAAATATAAAGTACTATATAAACACTATCTGTTTAGAAACAAGAATAAAGATCACCCAGGCAGAAAATTCCTTGCTAAAGACAGCCCTAGAAACAATCACATGCCTATTCATGTTAGTAACAATTTAGGGGGGACTTTTCTACCCTTCGACTTATTAAAAAATTGTATGAGCTGATATTTGTCAGGGTATTTGCTGGGAATTGTACAGTCGCTGATTTATTCTCTCATTGTGTCGTGCCCAGAAGACTGCTTCTGCTCAGTAAAGCAGAGAAAGGGTGCAGGCAGCTGATCCAGAGGGCCCTAGCTCTCGCAATGTTCTTTCCTGCACTTTTCAACCTTTTCACCCCAATTAAAGGTCAATATGGCTGCTCAAAAATATTTATTTAAAGGCAGTCATCTCAGCAGGCTGCCAAGTGTGATTATATTGCCACTTCATAGAATTCAATTAAACCCGGGACTGGGGCATCTGTGAATCACTGGAAGCATTGAGTTGAGATGTTTTCTGCCTTCTCTTAAAAAGTTGCCTTTTCCCTGCCGTCATTTATTCATTTCCTAGAACGCCATCACAACACATACACACGCACGCTTATAATCTCTCTCGGTGGTTCATGGACTTATAGCTCCCGGCTTAATTAAATTCCCTCTAACGGACAATCGAAATTGTCAGCGTAAGGCACAGCAAACGGCTCACGGGCCTCCCTCTGCGGCCGGCGCGCCGGCAACGAACCGCAGCTCCGCACCGCAGTCAGCCAGCGCACGCCGCCGGATCCCGGGCGCAGACACCCACCTCAGCCTCGCGCCGCCTGCGTCGCCGCTTCCGCCCTAGCTGGCGCTTCCGCCCGCGCCGGCCCCAGGCCCCGCACTTCCGCCCCGCGCCCGCCGCCCTGCTGGCGGGTCTCGCTTATCTCGGATCCGGCCGGGTCTCCGCTCACAGGGAAAGTGGCGCCTGAGCTTGTAATGAAAATCCGCGGAAAAGTGACCCCGCATGTTTGGGAACCATTTAGTAACCAACTTTTTCAAGACTATAGTCCAGACCGTTTTAACTCCTCACTGCATGCGTTCATTCATTGGTTAAAGTAATCTTTACTGTCCTCGGGTTCTGAGCTGAACTAGGTTATGGAGAACAGGACAAGCAAAACTGGCAGCCATACCCTCCCCAAACTTAAAATGGTGTAGGCAAGGCAGACATTAGCAAATTACCCTATAAGTAGGTCATGAATTTATTAAACTAAGAGCTTTGAGGGGTAGGCATATGACCTATGAAATGTTGAAGAGGTAGCTTTGGGGCTGCAATGTGAAGGGCCGGGGACCAGGACAGCCTTCCAGGTTGAGAGAGCACAGCATGGGCCTTGTACAGAAGACTGAGCAGTATGGCTGAGGCATAAAGAGAATGGGGGAGAGAGTGAGATGGAGCCAGGCCAGGTGGCCAAGCAGAGTCTTTCAAGTTTGTGCGAAGGACAGCTGGAGGACTTTACATTTGACTCTTAATGCCCTTATGTGGGAGGGAGGTTGGGACTGATTACTTTTCCTTTCTGAAAGGATCTCGGCTTCAGGAAGGAGATAAGCGTTTAGAATAGGCAAGAGTGGAACAAGAAGGGAAGTCCGGAAATGACTAGTAGTCGGGGTGTCAGGTTTGGTGGCCTGAATGGTGATACCTTAATAGAGAGAAAATGATGGTTGATAATTATAGTAATATTCAAAGCTAATATTTATTGATTGCTCATCCAAAGCTTTACACTCATTAACTTGTTTAATCCTGTGAACAATCCTATTAAGTATTATTAGTACCATTTTACAGATGAAGAAATGGAGGCTTATAACTTGCCCAAATTCTCACAGCTTGAAAACGGCAGTTGAAATTCCATGTCATGCTGTCTGCTGCCAATCTTCATGAACTTGCCAGTGTACACTCAATGTGTATTCAGTGACTTTTAAAAAGATTTGAAGCAAACCAAGGCCGGGAATGAATCCCTTAAGCAAACCACACTGATTATATGCCATGGCTACAGGACACATTTAGGAAGCAGAATTTTCAAGTTCATATTTTATTGCTTCTGCATTTCATAGTAGGTAATAGAGGGGATTTTGTGACTGTAAATAGACTACCTGTGGTTGTTTTTAAGTTGATACATTCTGATAAGTGTATCAGAGTATCAACCTAGGAGTTGATCTTTCTGGGGAAAAAATAATAGTTGCTGATAGGATATCTTTAAAGAAGTAATCTTGGGTCCAGTTATAAACATGTTGGTAGAACATGCACAGCTTGCATTTCGTGGAGTGATAGAAAAGCTTCCTAGAAATATAACTCCAGATCAGCTTCCAAATCTTATTTCTTGTTGAAAAATGAAGCTTCGTAAAATAAATTAGATTTATGAAACCTGATTTCACAAATTGAAGGAGAAGGATGGCTTTGCGAAAGGCTAACAGTGAAGGCTTCTTAGCATTGGTTATGGGCAAATTCCTCTAAGGAGTCAAAAGTTCACTCATTTCCAGAATTTGTGTTTAATTTTTAAGAATTAATTTCTTGGGTTTTAAGTGATGGAACCACCTCTTTATCCTTTCAGTTGAGGGTGGCTGGGAATCTCCGACGCACTATGGTTGGTACCCAGTCAATCTGGGAGTTCCCGACTGAGGGCCAGTTTTCCAGATGATCAGTTTAACCTCTAGGTCCAGGATTTCCAGTGCTGGGCATAGAGCTTTGCTTGGGAAAATGTCTGGTGTCTGACCAGGAAAACATGATTGTCTCCAAGAAAAAAAGAAAAAAGAACAGCCAAAGCAAAATTAATAAACATTTATTCAGTGGTCACAAAATAGAACATTGTGTCAGCTTAATTGCTAGATTTAGCATTCATAACAACTTCATCACATTTGAAAACAGTTTTTTAAATGAGATGCTCTCACCAAGTGAGAATTCCTAAATGTATGTGATAATAGCATTACAGCATACTAGTTACTTTAGACAAATAATGTAAAAGTAAAATCTATAAAAATTCTTTTATAGAAAAATTATTATATGTGGGCTATGTACAGCTTTTAATGTTCAGGTGATGTGAAAATAAGAGTGAAGATCTTAAAATGGCACTGAGTCTTATACAATTTTGTTCATTCAGACATGCTTGTCATAGGCATTTGACCTGCATTTTGTCCTCTTAAGTCTGGACCCAATTCTAAATCATGACCTGGGAATCTGGATAGGACTGGAGCAGGAGTCTCTGAATTCTGGATTATTAGTTCAGAACTCACCTGGGTTGAGTTGTTCTCTTACATCTCCGGCCCTGTCAGCTCAATGGCTGGCTCTGAGTCCAAAAAGCCTACTCTAGAGAATGGCCAGAATGGACAGTCTGATCTGTAACTCCTGAGATCAGTCATGAATACTTTACAGGACACATTATCTATCCTTTCTCTTTAAGTCCTCCTTAAGTCTAGACATGCGGGTTTGGAGAGAGGCAGCTTTATTTCTGCTCCCTTGGTTTTGCCTCTGGGAAAGCAGGAGTAAAGATGTGGCCTTTGATGTCAAGCCTTTCCCTTCAGAATAGCTTAGAAAAATAGCATTTTGGCAGATAGTGACTATCATGCCGTCTCTATTTTACAGTAACTTGGCTCTAGGCTGTCACTCAAACAACATGTGATCTGAACTTTGACTAGGAGGAGCAATCCCAGTAGTTGCCACAATTGGGTGATGTAATCGTGATGAAGGTATTCAGAAACCTAGTAGGATTTTTCCCCTTGTGTTTTTCTGGTATGTAGAGTGAGCATATTTGTTTATCTTATGAATCTGTCATCCCTAGTACTGAAAACTCTACAGCAAACAATCTGTAAGAACTAGATATTGTGTTATGTTTAAGACCATGGAGAAAAACAGTGGCAACCTCCCAAGGAAAAGACATCCTTCTGAATCTGGGATATCACTGGGGTCACAGTTGACTCCCCCCAGGCCAACCACTGTAGGAAACAGAATTATAAGCCTCTCCCACCAGGGGAGAATAGACCTCAGAAAACTGATTTCTGTATCCCCTTGACATTTTTAAAACTCCGCTCTAGTGCCAGACATTTAGAGGAGAGTGAAAAAAATTTCAAAGGAGAAAAATGTTTATTTGTTGTGAGGCTTGCTCACTAATCCACTTATGCCATTTACATTAGTTAAACAACCTTTCTGTGTAAACACCATTAATTATGTAGTGTAAGAGCCAAATAAAAATGCTAAAAAATAAAAGTAATTGTAGAATAAATTAGTATAGCTTGAGTGCCCATACATTATATAGAGGCTGTAGACTTTTATATTTTACTGAGGGAGGTAATATGTGATTTTTCTATTGTTTGAGCTACTAGGATGGAACCAACAGAAATGACATTTTTACAGATGGATACCAAAGCTGTTAAAGTTTAAGCCTATACTGGTGATGAAATTATGTTTTCACAGGAACCTTGACTCATGCCTCTTTATATATCTTAAAAAGACTTTGGGGTGAGCTAGGGGTTCAGTATCTTGTAGATCTCCCCAGAAGGTTTGTTGGAGCAAGACCATTGTTGTCTACTCCAAGCTCAGTACCCTCCATTCTTCTTTCATGTGTAATAACAGAGGATTGCTTGTGTCTGTGCTGAAGGCAATGAATCTTGTGCAGCCTGCCAGACACAAGAAGTGCAGGGACTGAAGCTGTTAAGGAAAAATGGTGTAGGGGACCTTGGAGTATCAACAATATTCATTTGTATCACCCTTTGTAGTATTTCAGGGGTTTTCATACTTATTAGTTAAGTTGATCCCTGACAATAATTCTGTAAGATAGGTAGGGCATATATTTTTATCAATCCCATTTTATAGACAAGGAAATTAAAGCTTAGGGAGGGAGATCACAATGAAGCAGGGATTGGAAAGCATTTTCTAACTCCTATCTATATTTTTTCCACTACCTCATTCATAATTCTTTTTAAATGCCAATGAAAAGAAATATAGTTTAGGTTGCAGCAATATTTTGTGCTATGTAGGATCTTTTAAGAATATTTGAGCACATTTACATCATATCCTTAGGGAAAGTTTTGTTTTACCTAGGGAGGAGGAAATGGATTTGAAATGGGAAAAGTTTTTCATTTTTATGGATTAAACCCATCTGTTATGTTCACTAAGACTGGATGATGGAGGAGGATAGATTTTTTTCACAGCATAAAGAGGAGAGAAGAGTGTAAAGCACCTCCTTGGTTCCCTGGTCAGATCCACATCTATCCAGCGAGCCCTGGTCAGGCAAAACCAGGCAGCTATCAGAGAGAAAAGGAATGCTGTCCTCAAACATACCCCTGTCACAGGACAAGAGATGTCTCCAGAGAAGGGTCTGAGGAGTTCCCAGATGAGAGGGGAGAACTCAAGTCAGGACCAGTGGGTTTCTTGGCATATGTGACAGAAAAGAATTTCAGCACAAGCCAGAAAAAGGCATGAACGGGTTTATTTAGGAAGGTAGATTGACATTCAAGGGAGAATTCAAGCTGTTTTGAGCATGAGAAGCAGACTTGACTTGGGCTAGGGGTCCAATATTTATAGCAGGGCTATATCAGGGGCCAGGCTGAAGGTGGATCCAGGGTGGAGCTGTACAATTCGACACTAGTTTTCCTGCACTTGTGTATTTCCCTCATTTTACAAGAGCATGGGCCAAGGTTTACAACTGTGTTTTTTGCATCTCAGTTGTTGGAGGGTGTTTCCCTTAATATTCTGTGTTTCTCTGTTCTTATTCTAAGTCCCTATTTACCCCCACAACTTACTGAATAATCTTCCGCATCTTTGAAGTTAACATTTATTGCTTAGAATTTTGAAGGAAATATATTTAT